GTTCAAAGCTGGGATGGGAAAACTGTCCAGTTAGCTCTTTCTTCTTTTAATGTCATGTTAACAGTCAACAGAATGGTCTGAGCTGGGTCTACAACAGCAGTGGCCTTGGGCCAACGAAAGGACCAAAGCATCCGCTGTGCTCCCCAATTCTCAGAAGAAACACAATTTCGGTCAAAATTTTGCCTCTGTTTCCCTATCCTGGAGCAATTTGTCCATGTTTTCCTTCCTGTAAAGCAGGAATCTCCAGACTTGGCAACTGTTAAAAGACTTGTGGACTACAACTCCCAGAATTCCCCTGCCAGCATGACTCAGTGATAAAAGGAAGGGGGGGTTGACATGGCTGGCTGGGGAATTCTGGGAGTTGAAGTCCACAAGTCTTGAGAAACTTTGCTTTTATAGTAGGGGGTCTCCCAACTTGGTAACTTTCTGACTGGTGGACTTCACCTCCCAGAATTCCCAAGCCAGCATGGCTCAGTGCTAGAAGAGAGTGATGACACTGCTGGCTGAGGAATTCTGGGAGTTGAAGTCCACAAAATCTGAAAGTTGCCAAGTTGGGAGACCCCTACTCTACAGAAGACTGTCCTGGAATGTAACCATCATTTCCACCGTTTCTCCAAACTGCAAAGTTATTTCCCTCAATGGCAGTCCAAACCAAGTGAATTTTTCCACCGATTTGAGATGATAACCTAATAATTTATAATTCGGTCCAAGGCGATCACGTGGAACGGAGGTGATTTTTCTAGACATCCGTAGAGTCCTCCAAACAAGAGCCAAGGAAGGCCACACCTGGAAGAATGCATCCAGTTTTGGTCACCACGTTACAAAAAAGACACTGAGACTCCGGAAAAAGTGCAGAGAAGAGCAACTAAGATGATTAAAGACCTGGAGACTAAAATATATGAAGAACGATTGCAGGATTTGGGAATGGCTAGCCTAGAGAAAAGAAGGACTAGGGGAGAGATAATATCAGTTTTTCTGTATTTGAGGGGCTGACACAACAAAGAGGGGGTCACCCTCTTCCCCAAAGCACCTGAAGGGAAGACAAGGAACAATGAATGGAAACTAATCAAGGAGAGAAACAACCTGGAATTAAGGAGAAACTTCTTAACAGTGAGGACAATTAATTAGCGGAACAGCTTGCCTCCAAAAGTTGTGGGTGCTCCATCACTGGAGGTTTTTAAGAAGAGACTGGACAGCCACTTGTCCTGGAATGCTATAGGTTCTCCTGCTTGAATAGGGGGCTGGACTAGAAGTCCTCCAAGGTCCCTCCCAGCTATATTCTGACTTGACTGAAGGTCACTGCTGAGAAAATGGTCCCAAATTCTTCTTGATGGAAGACCCTTAACTATATTTTAACATTTTTAACATTCCACAGCTGGAATACCCACCCCGTCAGCAGGGTTATTTCCACATTTGTCTGAGCCAAGTTCAGGGACCACTTTAATATTCACTTTACAATTAATACCGCTTTTTTTATGGCTGGCTAGAAAGTAAACCAATTTCAGCCCAGCTTCTCGGTATTGAATTTATTATAAAAAGTTATGTACTTAAAACTCCAGTAATGAAACCGGAGGCATCATGAGATATTAACCTAGAGTTAATGCTGAGAAAGCCGGTTTGAATAATTCAATTCATGTCACCTTAAGTATCTTTTCAAATGGAATTAACTTTATCTCAAACGCACATACAAAAAAGAGAGAGCGAGAGAGAGAGAAAAAGAGAGAGAGACTCACGTTCCAGTTACTGATTATTGACTCTACAAGAGCTCTGTCTTAAATCATTTTGGCACCATTTTTCTCCAGTAAGCCAAGACAGAAAGTTTGAGATGGAGGCATCAGACTGTGAATCAAGGACTATTTCATCTCAGCTCTTCCGTATCTCGGAGAAACACCAAACAGAAATGAACCCAGGAATTGCTGGGTCTCCTCTAAGTTTCAGGAAATCTTAATAAAATATCTATATGGAGTTCTTGCCTGGGTTTGTTTTAAGGTCAAAACTCGTATACTACAGTTAGGACAATTAACCAGTGGGACGACTTGCCTCCAGAAGTTGTGAATGCTCCAACGCTGGAAGTTTTTAAAAACAGACTGGACAACCGCTTGTCTGAAATGATATAAAGTTTCCTGCTTCAGCAGGATAGCAGTGTTCCAGTATTTGAGGGGCTGCCACCAAGAAGAAGGGGTCAACTTATTCTCCAAAGCACCAGAAGGCAAGACAAGAAACGATGGATGGAAACTCATCAAGGAGAGAAGCAACCTGATATTTAAGGAGAAACTTCTTAACAGTGAGGACAATTAACCAGTGGAACAGCTTGCCTCCAGAACTTGTGGGTCCTCCATCTTAAAGTTCCTAAGGTTGGGAAACACTGTTGTAGGTGCTTCATCACTCAAGGTTCTTAAGAAGAGACTGGACAGCCACTTGTCTGAAATGGTATAGGATCTCCTGCTAGAGCAAAGGGCTGGACTAGAAGACCTCCAAGGTCTCTTCCAACTCTGTTATCCTATCCTGTCCTAGCCTAGCCTACCCTACTCTACCCTATCCTATTATCAAGAGCATTTCTGGGTCCTGGATTATCATAACACGGATAGCCTTGAAAAGACCTACAAGGTGGACACGTAAGGATAGCAAGCTAAAAGGATCTCCGTGTAGATTGGGAAAAAAAAAAAAAAAAAAGGACTCACTTCACCAACACATGGCACAACACTAGGACAGTGTTTCCCAAACTTGACAATTTTAAGGCATGAGGACTTCAACTCCCAGAATTCCACAGCCAGCAACGCTGGCTGTGGAATTCTGGGAGTTGAAGTCCTCATGCCTTAAAATTGTCAAGTTTGGGAAACACTGCACTAGGAGAACAAACCCATCGGGACACGATTCAGTAGACCATCTGCATTTGAAAGACAAAGGCCACTCTTTCGAAGACAGGAAAGTCCACATTCTGGACAGAGAGGACTGCTGGTTGGAAAGAGGGGTCAAGGCAGCCATCAATCAGAATAGATTGATGGCTGATTGAGGTCTTCTAGTCCAGCCCCCTGCTCTAGCAGGAGATCCTATGTCATTTAAGACAGGTGGCAGTCCAGTCTCTCCTTTAAAACCTCCAGTGATGGAGCACCCACAAACTTCTGGAGGCAAGCTGTTCCACTGGTTAATTGTTCTCACTGTTAGGCGGTTTCTCTTTAATTCCAGGTTGCTTCTCTCCTTGATTAGCTTCCATCCGTTGTTTTTTGGGTTGCCTGCAGGTACTTTGTCAAAATTGAACAGTCCTCCCTCAACAGAGGAGGAGGGATACGAGACCACCCATCTCCTGTTTACAACAGCCCTCTCCGCGGTTCCAAAAGGGCTCCACGCCCATTTGCACTATTCAGACGGCCCTGAGAGCACAGATAAACCTCCCAGTGGCCTCAATGATTCTCAGAAGGAGCACTAACAACCAGGTGACTGCAAGGAATATAAATCCTTCCATCCTCCACCGTTCAGTCAGAACTGAAGAAGCTTCTTGGATGGGAAGCGAAACCTCTTCAAGGACAGAACAGCAGCCAGTCACCTTGGGGACTCTTGAATAGATTTTTCCACCTGGGACTTCCCCTCCATGATTCTTGCAAGCAAGCCCAACAACGTCCCTCCATGTTCCGCCCCTTGCTTTTCTGTCACGCTGACTCTGCTTCGTCCAGACACCACCGTGCAATAGTTTTTTGAAGTCCTCGGGAGGACTGTGGGATCTTCGGTGCTCTCCAACCACATTTTTTTTTCTTTCAGACATTTCATGATCAGTGTTGGAAAGGAACAAGGTTTCCTCAAGAAGTAAACAACACCCCCAGTCAAGAAACTAGCAACTCAGACCAACAAAATTAAGAGTAAGCAACAACCTAATTAAGGAGACACCAAGAATATTTGCATCAATGTTGACAAGATGAGTCACTTGTATATATACACAGGCAGCAAACCCCATTGCCTTCTAGCACTGATGATGTTCCTTAGTTGGGTCATGAAATGTCTGCCAGAAAACAACCCAGCTCAGAGAGCATCAAGGACTCCACAGTGATCCTCCTCCTCCATTCCACAAACCTAGTCTCTGAGTTCTAGTCCCACCTTTGGTATGAGAGCTCACTGAGTGACTTTCGGCCAATCACCAGGGGACAGTGAGTTCTAGTTCTGCCTTATCCATGAAAGCTGTCTGGGTTACTTTGGGCCAATCACCAGGGGACTGTTGAGTTCTAGTTCTACCTTAGCCATAAAAGCCAGATGGTGACTTTGGGCCAATCACCAGGTGACAGTGATTGGTTACTTTGGGCTAATCACCAGGAGATGGTGAGTTCTAGTTCTGCCTTAGCCACGAAAGCCAGCTGGTGACTTTGGGCCAATCACCAGGAGACGGTGATTGGTTACTTTGGGCCAATCACCAAGGGACTGTGAGTTCTAATTCTGCCTTAGGCATAAAAGCCAGATGGTGACTATGGGCAAATCACCAGGAGACGGTGAGTTCTAGTTCTGCCTTAGCCATAAAAACCAGCTGGTGACTTTGGGCTAATCATGAGGAGACGGTGATTGGTTACTTTGGGCCAATAACCAGGGGACTGTGAGTTCTAGTTCTGCCTTAGCCATAAAAACAAGCTGGTGGCTTTGGGCCAATCACCAGGAGATGGTGAGTTCTAGTTCTGCCTTTGGCATGAAAGCTGGTTGGGTTACTTTGGGCCAATTACCAGGAGACAGTGAGTTCTAGTTCTGCCTTAGGCATTAAAGCCAGCTGGGTGGCTTTCAATCTCAGGAGACTGTGATTTCTAGTCCCTCCTGAGGCGTAAGAGCCAGCTGGGCGACTTTGGGCCAGTCCCTCTCTCAGCCCAACCCACCTCACAGGGTCATTGTCGTGGGGAAAACACGAGGAAGTGGTCGGATACGTTTGCCGCCTCAAGTTGTTTGTGAAAATAATAAAGGCAGGATACAAACAAATGCATTAAAAAAAGAAAGAAATAAACAGGAGAGTTGGCGGAAGACGGCCTCACCTGCTGCTCCTTCTGCTTGGCGGCCTCCAGCTCGGAAAGGGAATGGGTGAGTTTTTCCTGCTGCTCGGAGAGATATTTCTGATAAAGGCTGAGCAGCTCCTGGCACTCGCGGTATTGTTGCTGCAGGGGTGAGATAACAAGTTAAGGATGGAAACGTTTGTGGTGCAGAAAAGGCAGGGAAGGAGAGGCAGGAGACACACACACACACACCCGCTGCGAATTCAGCATAAATCGGGGTTGGGTTTTTTTTGCCATTTGGAGAAGAAGAGACGATAAAATGGAACATGAAGGCAAACCGCAGGGAAGGGAGGAAAAGCAGCACTCAGAAGAAGCAAAGATTTGACCAACACAAGGCCGGCCTTTGTAGTTCAGAGATAAGGGATATATATATGTATGTATGTATGTATGTATATATATGTGCATAACATCTCAGATAGGATAGGATAACAGATAGGATAACATCTCAGATAGGATCCTCACCAAAGCCGAAACCAATGTCCTTTCCAAAGGATTCAACTTTGCAGTCGCTCCCAAACACATCCCCACTGAAACCATTATATGTGGAGTTGAAACCAGCCTGACTAAAATCAACCCCGACGACGCCAACAGAATCAGACTCGAAATCACCAACATCCTCTGCACCAGCAAGCCACCCAAAAGCAACTTACCCAAAGAGGAACAGACAGCACTACGTAACCTTAAAGAAGACACCAGCATAATAATCCTACCAGCAGACAAGGGCAACGCCACGGTGGTTATGAACACATCTGACTACCAAACCAAATTAACCAACCTACTCCAAGACTCCACATACAAACCCCTAAATACAGATCCCACCACCTACCTGGAAAAAACCACCAGATCCAAAATAAAAGCCTCCCCCATTAGCGAAGAGATCCAGCAAAGAATCATTCCCAGAGAGAAATCATCCAGATGCCCAAACTCTATGGTCTCCCCAAGATACACAAAGAAGGAACCCCACTCAGACCTATAGTCAGCTCCATAGGCTCACCTCTACAAAACCTAGCCAAATTTCTCGCCAAACAACTACAGCCCTATGCAGAATCCATCACCTCACACGTAAAAAACTCATTCCAGTTTATAGAGATCATAAAGAAACAAAACTTACAGCCCAGCGACCTACTAGTGAGCTTCGATGTCATATCCCTCTTCACCCAAGTGCCTATCAAAGAAGCCTTGACAGCTATCCAAAACAAATATAACCCCCCCAAACACATCTTAGATCTGACCAACCACTGCCTATCCAACACATACTTCATCTATAATGGACAAAAATACAAACAAACAGAAGAGCACCCATGGGATCACCCCTCTCACCTGTCATTGCAAACCTCTACATGGAACACTTTGAAACCCAAGCTCTAGAAAAATCGGATCACAAACCCAAACTCTGGCTCAGATACGTAGACGACACCTTCATAATCTGGCCACATGGGAAAGAAAAACTGGACAACTTCCTCACACACCTCAACAGCCTACACCCCAAAATACAGTTCACCATGGAAACAGAAGCTAACAACCAACTTCCCTTCCTGGATGTCTTAGTCTACAAGAAATCCAATGGCTCCCTAGGACACACCATCTACCAGAAGAAAACACACACAAACCGCTATCTGCACGCTCTCTCACACCACCACCCAGCACAGATCAACTCTGTAGCCAAGACACTCATCTCCAGAACAAAACGCTTAGCTGACGAACAACACCTAAAACCCGAACTACACACTCTCACCAATGTACTAACATCCAATGGATTCCATAGAAATAAGATTACAAACCTAATCCAAAAAGAAACCCCCACTAAAATCCAAGACAAAGAACAAGAAAACGGCAAAGCCATCCTCCCATACATAAAAGGCATCACAGACAGAATCAGTAAGATCCTCCATAAACACAACATCAAAACAGCATTCTGCACAAACAGAAAAATATCCACCATCCTTAGAAACCCCAAAGATAAAATTGAATTAGAAAATCAAGGAGTATACGAAATCCCATGCACCACTTGTCCCACCACATACATCGGACAAACCAACAGAAGAATAAGTGCACGCATTGAAGAACATAAGAACTCAATCAAAAAAGAGGAACCAACATCTTCCCTGGTCCAACACCTTAAAGCTACAGGACATGAAATTGACTTTAAAAATACCAGAACCATTGCCAAAAGTGAACATTTTAATAACAGAATAATCAGAGAAGCCATAGAGATAGAAAAACGCCCACACAGCATGAACAAGCGAGATGATACCTCCCGCCTACCAGCCATTTGGAAACCCGCCCTCATTGACAAACGACTCCCTAACACAAAAAATGATACCAGACCCACACTCACAAAAACCACACAGGAGGTCACCACCAAACATCCACGCAAAAAACAAAACCAAAGCCACACTGACTATGAGGCACGACCACAAACCAGAAGCCAGACCACAGCTGCATCATTAGCCACTTTAAACCCCCCCAATCCATACATGAAGCAAACTGACACCCTCAATGAAGAGGAAGCACGACCACGAACGCGAAGCCAAGGAATGGCAGGGCAGCCCAAAATCTTGAATCCCTCTGCAACTCAGACTAACCTGAGCACAACCAAACAGAACACTCCCCCAGCCAATCAGAGCACAGCCAACCCCCCAGCCAATCAGAGCACAGCCAACCCCCCAGCCAATCAGAGCACAGCCAAGCCCCTAACCAATCAGAACACACCTCCACCCAATCAGAACACAGCCAAGCTCCCACCCAATCAGTTCATACCCCACTGGCAGTTAAAAGGAAGAAACAGCTAAGACCACACATTGCTGCTCGAGGCACGAAGCTGAAAGCACCAGCCTGAAGATGACGAATGGGACTTCGTCGAAACGTCGCCAAGACACTTCCAATTTTACGTGGGAGAAAACCCGAACAACCAAAGACCTACATACAAATACCCGCGAAAACCTCAGAAAACAATATATATATATATATTGCTGCTCGAGGCACGAAGCTGAAAGCACCAGCCTGAAGATGACGAATGGGACTTCGTCGAAACGTCGCCAAGACACTTCCAACTTTACGTGGGAGAAAACCCGAACAACCAAAGACCTACATATATATATATATATATATATTATATATATATATATATAATATATATATATATATATATATATATATATATATATATATATATATATATATGTTTTCTGAGGTTTTCACGGGTGTTTGTATGTAGGTCTTTGGTTATTCGGGTTTTCCCCCACGTAAAATTGGAAGTGTCCTTGTCGACGTTTCGACGAAGTCCCTTCGTCATCTTCAGGCTGGTGTTTTCGGCTTTGTGCTTCTACGAGCTCCTAGAAGCACGAAGCCGAAAACACCAGCCAGAAGATGACGAATGGGATTTCGTCGAAACGTCGCCAAGACACTTTCAATTTTACACGGGAGAAAACCCAAATAATCAAAGACCTACATATATATATACAGGTAGTCCTCAACTTACGACACTTCATTTAGTGACCAAAGTTACAACGGCACTGAAAAAAGGTCTGTTTTTCACACTTATGACCGTTGCAGCATGGCTGTGGTCAAAATTTGGGCGCTTGACAACCGATTCATATTTACGACCGTTGCAGCGTCCCGGGGTCACAGGTTCCCCTTTTCAAGACCTTCTGGCAAGCAAAGTCAACGGGAGAAGCCCGACTCACTTAAATGGCCGTGCCACTAATTGAACACCCGCAGTGATTCACTTAATAACGCTGGCAAGAATGGACACACAAGGAGGGCAAAAATTCGTTTAACAACGGTGTCACTTAGCCACAGAAATGTTGGGCTCAGTAAGTCACGGATGACCTGTATTTTGTATACGTGTAATTCTTGACTTACGACCAGTGACTTGGGAGACCTTCAACGGACCCTGAAAAATGCGCTAACATAAAACGATGTCATTTTTCTGTAGGATGTTTTTGAGTTGGGGGTGGGCTTTCTCCCCCCCCCCCAGCATCTTGTCTCCCCATGGCCTTTTTTAACCTTCTCTGGATATCAGCGCCCAGGATAAAAGTTGGTCACAGAGATGTAAAAACAGGGTGAAAAAAGTAAGGTTCTACATTTAGGCAAGAAAAACCAAATGCACAGGTATAGTATGGGGGTACCTGGCTCAATAATAGCAATTGTGAGAGGGATCTCGGAGTCCTAGTGGACAATCCCTTAAATAGGAGCCAACCATGTGCTGCAGCTGCCAAAAAAGCGAACACAGCTCTAAGCTGCATTAACAGAGGGATAGAATCAAGATCATGTGAAGTGTCAATACCACTTTACAATGCCTTGGTAAGGCCACACTTGGAATACAACATCCAGTTTTGGTCACCATGATGTAAAAAAGATGTTAAGACTCTAGAAAGAGTGCAGAGAAGAGCAACAAAGATTATTAGGGGACCGGAGGCTAAAACATATCAGGAACGGTTGCTGAAATTGGGTATGTCTAGTTTAACGAAAAGAAGGACGAGGGGGGACATGATAGCAGTGTTCCAATATCTCAGGGGCTGCCCCAAAGAAGAAGGAGTCAAGCTATTCTCCAAAGCGCCTGAAGGCAGAACAAAAAGCAACAGATGGAAACTGATCAAGGAGAGAAGCAACCTAGAACTAAGGAGAAATTTCCTGACAGTTAGAACAATTAACCAGTGGAACAACCTGCCTCCAGAAGCGGTGAATGCTCCAACACTGGAAGTCTTTAAGAAAAGACTGGACAGACATTTGTCCGAAATGGTATAGGGTTTCTTGCCTGAGCAGGGGGTTGAGCTAGATGACCTCCAAGGTCCTTTCCAACATCATCATCATCATCATCATTATTATTACATAGCCACACACAAAAAAAACTTGTCATAATTCTTATTGAATCATCTTAATTGCTGAAAGCAAACTCTGCTAACTCTTAGAGGTGAAGGATGTAAATTAACTTAGCATCAAAAATCATTATAGTTTCTCTGTACAGGTAATCCTAACTTTTAAGACCACAAAAGAGCCCAAAATTGACATCGCTGAGTAAGACATGTGTTAAGTGAATTTTGCCCCATTTTACAACTTTTCTTGTTAAGCGAATCTGCAGTTGTTAAATCAGTAACACCGTGGTTAA